ACACCTTTATCTCATCATATGCAAAAATTAACTCAAAATGAGTCTTAAGTCTAAGAATAAAGTAAAGTTATAAAAACATCTACAAGTTTTGTGACCTTGGACTAGGAAAGTATTTTTAGGAAACTATAAAAGCATGAATCTTTTTAAAAATGAAAGATTAAATCAGTGGGGCTGGTGAGATGGCTCAGTGGTTAAGAAAACTGGCTGCTCTTCCAGAAAACCCAGGTTCAATTCCCAGTACCCACATGGCAGCTCACAACTGTCTATAATTCAAGTTCCAGTGGATCCACCTGCCTCACAAAGACATACAAGTCAAACACCAATGCATATAAAAATTTAAAAAAATGATTAAATCAGACTTGGCCACATTTTAAATTATTTCTACTTCAAACATCACTGTTAGAAAAATTAAAATTAAAAAAAGAAAAATTAAAATTCAACGTACAGACTGAAAAAGATATCTATAAGACATGATAAAGGTCTCTCATCCAGGTTATAAAATAACTTTTACAACTCAGGAATAACAGGAAAAAGGACTTGATTCTAAAATGAAAAAGAAAACTGTAACAGATGCTTCATCCAAAAAGATACATGAACATAAAATAAATGCATGGGAAGATTTTCAACAGCATTAGTCATCAGGAAAAATGAAATTAAAGTCACAGTGAAACACTACCACACACCCACTAGAATGGCTAAAATTAAAAAGACTTAAAAATACCACTCTTTGAGAGGATGTCTAGTAACTGAGCGCATATATTGCTTGTGGGAAATGCAAAATGAGAAGTCTGGCAGTTGTTCTAAACTCAGACTTACACTTACAGATGATCTAGTACTCTTTCTACAACATTTTTGTTTCTAGCTTACTCTTTTGGATGAGTAAATGATTATGAAGAAAAACCGAGTGTAAAGTTTCAGATGGGAAAGATGATGCTCTAGTGACGTCTCACAGAACTGTACTCCTAAAAATGACTAAAACGGTAAAGTGTGCACCGTGAGCATTTTTAAAATAAATTTTTATTTATTTTTAAATAAAATAAATTTTAAAGGGGGAGGGACAATATTAAGTAGATGGACACAAATCTGGAAATCCAAAGTACCTGCATTTTAAAATAGCTCTTGTGGCTTAAAGAAAACTAATCATCTGGGTGTGATGGTGCATAGCAATCTCAACACCTGAGAGGTTGATGTAGGAGGATCACAAATTTGAGGTCAGCCTGTGCTACATAGTGAGTGAGTTCAAGGCCATTCTGTGCCACATATGGAGACCGTCTCAAAACAAACAAACAAAAAGAAAAATGCAACTTAAAGTGACTATAGTACTAGGAAGATTCTACTAGTTGAAGAAAATTATACTTTCCAATTTTATCTGTAATACTTAGGGGTCTAAAAAAGTACACTTTTTGCTAACAATCTGATTGCCCATAGTAGCCAGGATAAACACTGGAAGACAAATATAATCATCATCCTCCCCAGGTTCCCAAGGAATTGCCCTGATACATACCATTTTATCATCTGCATTAATTTGGAAACTCCACTGAGCACAGATATGCAAAACCCGTTACCAGAAGCCTTAGAGTGCCTATGGTCTAGGGTTAAGTAAGATTATGCAAGAATTGCCAAAATAAACATCAAATTCCACGTGATGTGGGGAAAAGAGAAAGCCATCTGTGCGATTAATTCACTGAGAATAGACCACAGTCTTCTGGGGACTAAGATGTGTCAAACGATCATTATAATGGCTACAGCTATGCCAATAACACAGCATCAGGAAATCTCTCAATGTAACTCCAGGGATGGCAGACATGTGGCAATCTACCTGGAGCTGGCAAGACATTCTATCAAGAAACAGTACACAGAGAACCTTGTATTTCATTAGCTGACAGAAAAAGAAGCTTGATGAGTACATGCCCAGACAATGATGTGTGAGTGCTCAGCAAGTTCTCTGTTTAACCTAGAGATACATACGGAGTTCAAATCTACATGAACTTTAGGAGAGAAATTTCTTCCTTTCTGGTTTTGGTTTGGTTTGGTTTTTTTGAGACAGGGTCTTAGCCCTGGTTGGCCTAAAACTTGATCTATAGACCAGGCTGACCTGGAATTTGTGGTGATCCTCCTGCCTCTGCCTTCTAAGTGCTGGGACTAGAGGTATATGGTACTACATTCAGCTTACAGAAAATTTCCATCTCTGGCAAATAACACTTAATAATAACAGTTCTACTTCTCAGTAGCAGTTATACACAGTGCGTCCTACCTGCCAGACACTAGCTCTGACTAGGCAATCTGTGTAAAATGACGACAGTCGTACCTGCACAACACTGTAAGGCAGGCAAAGGACTGACTTCATTTTATACAGAGAGAAAACAGGCTCTGGGATCAGGTTAGCCCTCCTCCTTAACCAGGCTCCTTAACCAGGTAGGTGGCAGAGCTCCTCAGGGTATCCTCTTCCGGGTCCCAAGTTCATGGTCATAACTACACCATACTGCTGATCTTTGGAAAATGCCATTTTCCCCACTGTGAGAGCCAAGAAGTCCAAGAAACCGTTCTAGTTGTAGGCTGAGGAAGAACACTGCCAACAACTAGTGGGAAACAAGGACAAGCTTTTTACATGATTAAAAGCCTATCGAGTGGCAGGCCCTTTACATTTAGCACGGGCCACCAATACACGGAAGTCTATAGATCCTGAAATCCTCCATAACTTGTCATTTTAAAAGGTTACTAATTTTTTCTTTTGTTTAAAAGGCAAGATGTATCAAAATAATCAAATTAAAAAAACATTTGATTTCATTTTCACTAGAATTCAATTTAGTTCTTTAAAAGATATTTAAATAAGCACTTGGGTGTTCAAGTATCATGCTAAGTACAAGACATATAAAAGCTGACTTTATTAAAAATTAAAAATAAAGAAGGGTCTCTGTTTTTAAAAAAAATCCTATGGTCTACAATAATCCTTTGCAATTGTCCCCATTTTACAAGACCTGACTCAAAGGAGTTAACTGATCAGTAAGGATCTAAGTGAATAAAAGCCAACACAGAATTTGACATCTAAGACATCCAACCCTAAAACCTACATTGAAATCCCTCTCACTTCAATCTTATATGTAGTTACTTAGAGCAAAGTTACCCAGTTAGGTCACATTAGCAATAGGGGCAGAAAATCTTGGGGGGATGCCTTCAGTACTCACTCTGCCACAAACCCCATTGAGTGTGTATTGACAGAACTTTCCGCTATTTTCCTGAAAGGGGTAAAATACTAAAGAGAGGTTCCTAAGGACCGGGGAGACGGCCCCATCAGCAAAGAGCTCACGGCACAGCAGGAGGCTCTGAGATCTGATTCCCCAGAACCCACACAGAAAGCCAGACATGGCGATTCATGCCTATCCCAGCCCTGGGGAAGCAGACAAGACAGTCCCTGGGGTTCCCAGGCTAACCCAATTGGGAGCTCCAGGATCAGTGAGAGCCTGTCTCAAAAGCCTACGGTGAACAGTGACTGAGGGAGATAGCCATGCTGATCTGTCCTCCATGCACACACACGTGAGCACATAAACACAAATATACACACACAGTAAATAAATAAAACTTTTAAAGAGAGAGCTGTATTTGGAACAAAATGTGGCACATTCATCTGGCTGTCTATCATGTTGCTCAACTTTGGGATCAGAAGTTGACCTGTCCGAGCTGACTGCAACTTGAGGGTCTTGTAAGGGTCCATGTGGTTATCTCTACACCACTAGCCTAGACTTGTTGGATGAAGCTTCCCCCAAACAAAACTAAGCAGGGGTAAGGGATTTCAAAGAAACACTAAAGGAATAGCTACATCACACCGAGTAGAAGTTTAAAACCGTGTTTTCAATGTTTACATCCAAAGCTTCAGAACCATCACATTCTAGAAACATTTACCGAAAAGTCAAACCTCACTCTAACCAAGCAATAACAAAAGAGAACAAGAGCCAACAAATATGAAGCATGTTTAAAACAGAAACAGGGTCTGGAGGTAAGTGAGTGGTTAGGAGCCCCTTTGCCCTTCCAGAAGACCCGACTTTTCTTCGAAGCACCCACTCTGCGTGTCTCACAACCTCCTGTCTCTAACTCCTGCTCCTGGGGATCTGAGACTTTCTCCCGGCCTCTGCAAGTACCCACACATGGCATACACTCACACAGACATATAAATAAAAAATATGTATAAAATACAAAAATATATAAAGAGAGGACTAATGATATGGATATATAATGATACCTGCCCTATACAGATGAACATGGATTTACTGAATCAGGTGAAAAGAATCTTAATAAGAATTAAAGTTAGCTCTCTGCCAAATTTTCCTAACTATATTTAGTTCTCCTGGCATATATTAAATGTAAAAACAAGGAAATGAGAAGAAATCCTCAGCATAGCTTGATTAAACTCTTTACAAAATTACAAAAAAAATTATATGCAAAACTTTCTTTTAAACTCTTTAAATTTGCTTGCTATTTTATCTTCTTCTTTGTGCACTAGATCCCTAGAACCTTTTATCCATACCATTTCAACCTTTCCAGTGGAAGCGGCCACCTCTGAAATACCTTGAAACAATGACCAGCAGGAAGCAAATGCACTCAATTCGGAATCCGTATCATAACATTTGGACAGAGGTTAGGTGATAATACATCTTATGCAATGGCTTGTTTCATAGGGTTGTAAAGTAATGTAGTTTTTCTTAAAGGACATCCCTTAAAGACAGAGATAACATCTTTTCCCTGTTTACCTATGTATGTTATCAATTGCTGCCAGCACCTAAGTAAACTGCTTAAATACAAAGTTTCATGATCTGGTTTCAATTTCTTCCCTGTTCAATAAATTGATTCCCTAAGACTCATCACCAGGAATATTCTGCTCACTTACATTTGTCCTGCTTTTGAAAGCTTTCTTTAAAAACATACATTAGTACTTCAAGTTCCAAAGTTCCCAGCTGTATACAGTCAGCTCATAAACAGTATGCACAGACAAGCTTCATACTTACCATATAGTTGCCATAAGCATGATCAAACATTTCCAGGACTTGATTTCTAATTGTGAGAAAACAGAGAGGGAGAAAGGTTATGTATATTCTATCTATTGTACTTCAAGAACACAATTCTCCTTCATAAAAGCACACTAATTAAAAAAAACAAAAAAAAACTTTAGTAAGAAGGATACCACAAAGTGAGCAGAGAAGTCTTTATTACCTCACCATAAGCTGCGGAGCCAGACCTTTACCATCCCTAGTCCTAGTAATTTATATAAAACTGCTGGTTTTTTTCTAAGAAAACTATTGAATGACCCATGTCATAATGGCAGAGAAAGAGAGCTGGTCTTGAACACTACAGCTATTAACATAATTATGCAACCTATTCTTGGAGCGGGATGTTTCCAGACAACTCCCCAACGCAACAATTATTAGTACCATTTATTGTTTGTTCTATATATTCTACTAAGGGTGGGGTGGAGTGTGTTCCACTAATATGAACTAATATTTTCTCAAGCCTGTGCCCTTCCCATTAAGCTGAGTAAAACCACTAATGCCTAGTTTAAATACATACTATGTTTGTCTCATTTCCAAAAGATACACTTTCTGGCATACTCTGCTCTCTTAAAAACACTCTCCAAAAGTAGAATTCACTTCAAAAACAAAAACGTTAAAGCTCAAAGGGAGACTTTTAGCTTTCAGGGAGCCGAGGCTAGAAGATCACAAGTTTAACATCAGCCTGAGCACAAGGAGGGTGCAGAGAAGAGAAAAGAGGATTTCTTTCTCTAAACTTCCAATACAGTGGTTTAAGATGGAGGTTTCAGGCGCCCAAGCCAGATTCACCAACTCAGACCGCAAAGGTCTCAGGAACTAAGGACCGAGTCTCACAATGAAGCATTCTCATGACCAGGCCTCGAGTGCTATTACAAAAGTTAATGTGAGAGCCACACAGGGCCAAATCCAATAATCAGCAAAGGAAAACAGCAAGACAAGTACTTACTAACTCTTCTCTCCCCAAAGTTCCACTTACTACAACCAGGACTAGGAAAAGAAGTGAAGAAAATGACTGGTTATATTTATTTTCCTTCCTATTATACTATATTGTCATTTCCACAACAATGGAGGATGAAATACTGATAATAATAAAGCTAGCAGGTAGAAAAGCTCTACTATCCAGCCCTGGCTGTAAGGACCAACAAGGTCAAGTACACTTACTTCATTTTATGACCTAAATAGTCCTGACAACTTCTTATAACCATTTTTAAAATGCCTAACCATTAAAAACAAGACCTTGGCTGGCAAGACAGTTCACTGGGTAAGAGCACTTGCCCCAGAGCCTGGCAATCTGAGTTTGATCCCAAGAACCCACATGGCGGAAGGAGAGGGTTGATTCCTGCATGTTGTGCTGACTCCACGTGCCATGGCAATACACACAAATGTAATAAAAAATTAAAAAGGTCTCCCTACTACTGTGTTAAAACATTGTAAACTTACATAGATCCAGAGGATTTCAGGAAATTAAGGAGTTTCTTACAGAATCCCTCTAGACCCTCATCGTGCAAATGATAACTATCTCCCCAACAGCAGCAAGGCCAGGCCCTACAACCTGCAAGCACTATCATAAAATGGGATATGCAGACTCTTCCTTCCCTGAAGTAGAATAAACGATTACTGTCAAGAAGGGGACTTTCTTGTCACTGGGAATGCGAGAGCCTAGAAGTGCATCACAGGTGAAAAACTCTAACTTGCTAATTCAACTTTGAGAGCTATGAATTTCCAAATTATGGGTAAATTATAATTGTATATGAAGACACATACAATCAGCAAGTTCCACAATATAAACTTTAAAGTGAGCAGAACTGTAGAACGGCACAGTGACTATATGAAACAGTTTAAAAGTTTTTATAGTTTTATATCTATTTAACAACTGTATAAGATATATTGGAAATCTGACCCCCCCCATTTAAAATTGTTTTTCATTCTTAAATAATTTCTATAAATCAATTGTTTTCTAAAGTCACACTGCCTCCCAATATCAGTAGTAACTGTATTGATCTATACTATACTAATTGATAACCAAAAATATTAGCAAAATCTCTTGTCCTGAAAAAAAATTCCATGAAAGATAAGACTATATATATATATATAAGGTATATAACTACAAGCAACTGTTCACAACAATTCCAGTGTGTGACACACACACACACACACACACACACACACACACACACACACACACTATACACCTTATTGTTTGAGACAGGATCTCTCTCTGAACCTGGGGCTCACTGATTTGTCTACACTGGCTGTCCAATGACTCATATAAAATTTTTAATAAAGAAGTCAAATAAAATACTTGCAGCCATACCAGAATTCATACTTTCCCCCAAATCTTAAGGAAGTACGGCACTGTGTGTACATGAGCTATGAGGTCAGACATAGGCAAAAAGAAAACAAAAATCTGACTCCACCTAGTACCAGCTTTGAGACTCTATGAACAAGTTAACCTTGGATCTCAATTTCTTCATTTGCACAGTGGAGATAACATCCGCCTTGTGATGTAATAACAGTTTTAGATATGGCGTGAGTTAAATGCCAACGAGTGGGGAAGGAAGTCTAGGAACACATTAAACTTATAAAGAAAAAAAGATACTAGAATCCATTGGTGATTTGTTTGGATAGCTGACGCTTCATCTTCTTGGCCTCTGATTTTCATTGCTTTTATTAAAAAATTAAAACAAGCCTTCTGCAATGATTGAAATAAAGAAGCATATATATTAGAACCTAATGGCGCCACTTCCCTTTCATCCTAACATTATGGGATAAGTTACTTTTTTTCCCCCTAAATTTGGGTAACTTTTTTTCTTATGAAATGGTTCGGCTACTATTTATATATTATCCTTCAACTTGCTTTAGTTTTGTTTTGTTTCCTTATTATTGTGGTAATAGGTCCTGGATAAACTTCTAATTACAGAACTCTTTCTAAATGTACGAACATTATTCCACAATATAGAACCAAACAGCATATTCAACCATTTCCCTTCCAGGAACTGTTCTGTTCTTTCAAACTGCACTCCTTTATACACGTATCTCTTAACAGTGCTTTTATTTCTGTAGGGTAGATTCCCAGAGAAAGAAAAAGCACATTTTTTTTTTTAATTCAGTGTTGCTGTCAATAGGTCACACGAATTTACATTCCTACCAAGCCTTTTCACATCTTCACTAACCAGTGCTGCATCCTGGTGTTGTGTGCTTATTAACCAGACAAGCAAAGCCCACCCACCTCACATGTTTTAATAAGCATCTCTCACAATTAACTCTTTGTGCTACTGACCCGCACCCATTTCCTCTTCTCTCACTTAACTGTTCACGGTTTTGCCAGTTTCTACAGATTTCTCCACTTTGTTCGTGCTCATCTGTGCCGCTTTCGGATGTATGAGCATTACTGAATTAAATGCCACAAATGCGGAGTACTGTAGCACATTCAAGATTCATGAAACGACTCTAAAGGGGGGGTACACTCAACCGAGGCCTTTGAATAACATCAAACCGCCTGCCCCAGGCACAGATGCCGGGTAGGAAGAAACCACAGCAAAGGGATAGAGGAATCGGAAAAGTTCAAGTTCCAAGTGAACGCCCCTTTTCCTCTGAACAGGTGTAAACAGCGCAACATTTTCCCGCTGGGAGCTCACTCGGGCTGGGCGAGAACTCCAACCCTCCCTCCTCCGCCAAAAGGCGCCCCTCCACCAGCCCGACACGGCAGGGGCGCTGGCACCACACGGCACATGTCACGGGCGGCCCCGGAGACACCCGACAGCCACCCCCTCCACACACCCGGAGGTCACGCCGTGGGGGACTCGGCTCCCATCCTCCTGGACCCTGTCCACCGCACCGAGGTCCTCCAGCCTCACCAGCTGTTCCAAGTCACCATAGAAAAAAAAAAAAAGTCCTCGGCGCGCCGGCGGCGCGGTGACAGGCACCTCGGCGACCGCTGGCAGCCTCGCCAGGAAACCCACCCGGGCAGCCGCGCACCCTTCTTACCCAAGCTTCTGCTTCTCTTCCCTACTCATGGGCGCGGCCCTCGCCGTGCACACGGACGTGGCCAACACCAGGCAGAGAGAGGCCGTCGCTGCCACCAGGCTCCATGGCGCTCGCTGGGGGACCCGGCACCCACAGCCCCGACCGCCGCCGCCGCCGCCGGCTTCGCTCATGGCCCCGCGGTTCCGCGCACGCGCAGCTGCTACACCCGCCCGGTGGGCCACATCGCGGGCTGCCGGCGGCGAGGAGGCTGGCGAGCCGTGTCGAGGGCGAGCTGCGGAGCGAGGCCGGCGGCCGCCGGCGCCAAACTGTGTGCCGAAGCCACCGAGCCGGTCCCCAGCGCCAGCGCTGCCACCACCCTCCGCCCTCCACGGCCCAGAGCACCGCCCCCAGCTTTCCGGTGTCGTAGTCTAGGAAACCGCCTCCCCAAGGCTACTTCCGGGTAGGGCAGCCGTGGGATAGCCTCGGGACCAATGGAAACAGCCCCGGAGAGGGGCTGGCCGCAGCCACAGGACGGGACATTGGCCAGGAGAAGCGGGACGTGGACAAAAGGCGGGGCTGGGCAGCGAGCTGGCCCTTCGACCCACCTCCGACCCCAGGAGTTGCCACCTGGGGACTACTAGTCCCAAAGTGCACCGCTTCCTTCGCCCTGCCTACGGCCCCATGCGCAGGCGCCTTGCTAAAAATTTCGGCCTGCTGGCGCACTGCGTTCTGGGACTTGTAGTCCGGTCCCGTAAAGGCCACGCAGGTTCCAGGCGTTCGGAGTTCCACTGTCCCACCAGCGCTCCTAGGTGGGCTGCACGGTCCCGGGGAGTCCTCAGTTATTTGCCCTTCTCTCCCTGAAGATGTTTCCCTGAGAGCTGGCAGAAGGAGACTTGTCCCCAGGTCGGTACCCTATTCCTTGAGGAACAGTGGGAATAGTCGTCTGCCCTCGGGGAAATGACAAAATAAACAAGCAAACAAAAACAGCAAAATGAATGGGACCTTCGACGACAGAACGACGTGAGGGTTTTACTTTCATTAGCGCACTCTTCTCCACTCTAATATGTAGATATCAACGTCCCCCCCCCTTTTGCACACGTGGAAACCTAGGCTTGAGGAAGTTGGCAAACACTAATCTCACTCCTGGTTTACACTCCAACCTCCCTCTGATTCTAAAGTCCCAGCAACTAAGCAGGACCACAAACATGAAGGAGGGCAAACAAAGTTAAGGACATGATTAATAATAGTTATCTAAAAAGCCCGTGGAAGGAAAGAAGTGTAGGATGCAAACGATTTTTTTTTTTTAAGTTTAATGAAGACTGGATGTTGTAATGAGTTGCAATGGCTGATTCGCAAGCTAACCGTGGTAAAACGACACGCAGGTTTGTCTTGCAAAAGCCCGTTTCTTTTCTCTTGTGATAATTCAGCAGGTGGCTTCAGAATGGAGGAGCTTGGGTGTGACCTCTGTGGCCACAGTGAATTCCGTATTTGTTCAATCAGCAGTATGCGGCTGTCCCGAAACCTCTTGATTTGAATGCTGTACCAGTTATGTCTTATCTCTCTGACCATTCGGGTGACAAAATAACCTTTCTTCCTTCACGCCTCCTTCGCTGCTTTCAAAAGCGCAGGTGTTTCCTGAAGGTTTTCTTTTTACCCTTTTGCTCTTGGTACTTCAGTGACTTCTGGTATGGATTCAGCCGCCTTATCTCTCTAGTTGATTTCTAGATTTATATCTGACCTCATGATCAGACCTACATTCTCATCCCATTTCCCTTATGTCTAGTCCAAGAGAAACTCAAGTGTAAAATTATTTAATATTTCAGAACCGTGGTTACTCATCTTCTTTCCTAGTGTCCAACCAGTTGCCAAATAACATAGATTCGTATCTCTGCTACCTTCCAGACCATTGCCTTTCCATTCCACTTTTGCTCGGCCCTAGATCTCATTATCTCTTTGCTAAGCTATTGCGACAGCCTAAGAAGTGATTGCCCTACCACCCTGTTCTCTTCCACACTGCCACAGAGGAAGCATTCAGGCACATCTGCAAACACTCTGAATTCTTCCTCTGTGGATTCCACCTGCCCCGGCCTCAAGTTCTATGCAACAACTAAAGAAATTCTCACGCCATCTCCTTTCTTTTTCTTTGCTCTGGTATCTCCTCTGTTGCTCTGCAATCTTTGTCCACCACCCACAGCCTATTAAGACTTGGCTTAGATTCCATCCCCCAAAACCATTCAAAACCTTCCAGAGAGCTCCAGTCACCCTCCATCCTGTGGACCAAGCTTTTTGGGGGGCTACCAACCAGCTCCCAAATCATGACACAGAGACTTATTATTAGTTATGAATGCTCAGCCTTATCTTAGCTCTTATTTTAATCTGTTTCTTGTTATCTACATTTTGCCTCGAGGCTTTTTTCCTTCCTTCCTTCCTTCCTTCCTTCTTTCCTTCCTTCCTTCCTTCCTTCCTTCCTTCCTTCCTTCCTTCCTTCCTTATGTCCTACTTTCACTGCTTCTTGTGTCTGGCTGGCTGGTGGCTGCCTGGCTTCTGGCCCCAGGCATCTTCCTCTCTTTCTCCCTTGTTCTCTTCTCTCTCTTTTGTCTAGATTTCTCTTCCTCCTTATTCTCTCTGCCTGCCAGCCGCCTGTCCCACTTCTGCCTGATTATTGGTTGTTCAGCTTTTTAGTAGACCAATGAGGTGCCTTAGGCAGGCAAGGTGAAACAAATGCAACACATCTTTAGGTAATTAAGCAAATGTAGCATAAACAAATGTAACACACCTTTACACAGTTAAAGTAGTATTCCACAACAATTCTGTACTTCCACTGTACTCTGTGTCTTTCTTAGTGCAGTGTTCTGTGCACTGGATTGTGACCATTTGAAGGGTGTTAAGCAGCTTGTTCTAAAGAACCAGTTTATTCTGAAATGCCTGGTGCTGTGTCTCTCCACTATAGATGTTCAGGAAGTATCGAATGTATTCGTTTTCTCATTCCTTCCGTTTGCTCACTATAAAGTGGGAATGGTAAATGATCCTCCCATGTACTCGCCAGGGTGCTGTGAAAACACATGAGCTCATTTCTGAATGATGTTTATCCCTTTTACAAACCTGCAGGCCTGTGTTGCTGCCACCCCAGATCCTCTTTGGCAGCCTTAATGATGAAGTTAGCTAAGTAAATAAATACCTTGGAGTTGGTCTTGGCTGTGGCGTAGAGAACAGGACCTGCCAAAGGTCAGCACCAATCATCTAGTATTTGAAACTAAAAACAAAGACAGTATAAAAATGCTCAATGTCTTTCAGATATATTTTCAAGTCAGTTCTTTGACATGGCTTATTGAAAGTAACCCAATTGTTGTTGTTATTGTTTTAAGTCTTTCTGATGTTCTAATCCTAAAGACTTCCGAGCCTTTGGCTTTCAATGAGACACTCGCCGTCTTGTTAAGAAACAGTATACTAAAGAGGAAGTCCTGGCCTCAGTGTTTGTCGTTTGCTGTATTTTTGCTTGTTTTCAAGCTAACACTGCATTTTGAAAGGGTGTAATGAGCAGCCAGAACACATTCTTTGTTGACTCGCTGAATAATAAGCATCCTTTTCTCCCTACTGTGATTCAATTTCTAGCCAATAGCTGAGTCCATTTTTCACTAACCTCTGCAAAATCATAAATAGAAAAATCTGGTGTGACCTAAAAAGTATTGGAAGTTAACATCTCTAAGCTGGAACCCATATTCATGATGGAAATACACTCACAAAATGCATTTCAAAGTAGATCCCATTTTAACCCATTAATGGAAACGGGAATTATTAACTATTTGGCAACTTATGGGGTCTGGAGAAAATTGACGTTTATTAGTTTAAAAACTTATACATTAGTAATTTTTTTTTAAATATGAGAGTTAATTCAGAGAGCTTGGAGTTGTACATAAAAAAAAATTAGTGAAAAGCACCAAAGGGAAATAAGAGAGAAGGATTTTTTAAAGAATATAAGACAGATTTTTAGAGGCATAGAGCCCATTAAAAAACAATAACAAGGGTAATTTATAAAGTGGCGGCCTTTAACCGGCTAAGAGTTTGTTTACACAGCCTTGTATCTTATGCAAATATATGTTCCCTTCCCTGCCCGATTGTGGCAGAGGTTAGGAGGGATGGTGTGTGGAAACCATATAGACACAGGGAGAGGCTTCACTTCAGCTATTATGGCCCAGGGAGAGTCCTGGGAGGCTGAGACCAGCTGTACGAGACTGGTCACAGAACAACAGTTACCCCTAAATTCTTTTAACTCTACAGGTCTCGTTACTCCCGAAATGGAATTTGGATGTGGTTATTTTGCCATTCTTCGAATGATTTCCCATTGAGTTCTTCTTTCAAGATTCCCATTAGTTGATAATGTGGAATTTACGGGGCACTTTTCTTCTCGTGAACCCAAGCCTATGTCCATTAAATCAAGGCAACATTTATTCCACACTTACATTCTGGGACTCTATGTCTCCCGAAGGGGCATTTTGTGAAAAGTACTCAGTAAATATTATGGATTGTCTCTCCCAAATGACTGACTGGCTTATCTAAATTCCAGAAAGGGAATGAGGAATCCAGATGACTCATTCTCACTGGTGATTTTAAATCTTTAGAACTTCAGATTATTCTCATCTGCTCCGTGGTCACCAGTACCAGCTCTCGTGTGTGAACGCTTGCTCCTTTAGTAACCGTATGCCATTTACTCTCTTTACCGGGAGCAAAGCCCCGTTTTTATTGCTCCCACTCTGGGCCCTAAAGCCTCATTGGTCCCACCAACATAGTTCTCACTCATCAGCTAAGAGCAGCCTCGGTTTTCATCAGTACTGCTCAACAGCATCCCACACAGGTATCCTAGAGGCCAAGAACAATGGTTCAGAGCCCGCTCTGCTACATTTCACCCGGGTTCACTTGCATCTCTGTTTGTAAAATAAGGCTGACCTCACAGCACTTCAGGAAGGGTTAAATGACCTGGTACCTTTCTTCTAGGGCTTTTGTGAAGCTAACAAAATAATGTGCATACACAATATGTAGAAACTTGCAGAACAGCTCAATAAACAGCAGTTACTGATATTTATCATTATTACGGAGTAGAAAGACAAAGTTGCCATGATGAGAGTAGGTGTCAAGGGTGGGTACAGGTGCCCACAGCCCTGGTTCGAATCTTACTCCAAATCTTATCCACTACCTTGTCCTGCTGACCACATGTGGCCACTATAGCCTCCCTCTCCTAAATCCTAACCCTTCTGGACCTGCATGCTACTCAGTGAACCACAGATTCTGCCATGGAGATCCCCGTATGAGCTACAGAGCCTCATCCGTGTTTTGGAGTGACTGTGCATGTATGCAAATGTTTGGTACCCTTCCTTTCTCAGAAAAGGGGGCCTCACCTGTAAGGCATTTAAAGTTGGAAGAGGAAGAGGGGTCGGAGAATATGTACAGTCAGAAAGTCTTGTAAGCTTTTGGTCTACATGGTTTTTGTTTTTGTTTTTTTTTTCAATTTATTTTGTGTGAATGGGTGTTTGCCTGCATGTATGTCTGTTCCCATGGAGGTCAGAAGACAGCATGGAATCTCCTGGAACTGAAGT